AAATAAAATAGCAGTTGAATAAAAATCAAATTGTTGACAAACTAGACATTATAATCATATTTTTAAATTCCACTTAATAGCAGAGCAACAGTTCGAAAAGCAACAGTACTGATTTGTAATGTTTAGATTACGAAATAATAATCAATAACAGTAAATAACAGAAAACACACAAAATGATTTGAGAAACTGTTCATGATAGATTAAATTTAATTTCATAAAAGCAAAAAAATATTGTAGCAAGTAAAATAAATACTTTCAACCATTATCTATTTCCACTAATTCGAATAACACATTCTACTTATTGATACTATAATTATACCATATTAATTGTCAATTAAGCAGTATAAAAGTAAACGAAATCTCATAATCTTATCTATAATCAGTTTTACAGTGAAAAGTATTTTATTTTGATATTCTATAAGCCACTTAGAACTTCTATTTTGATTCGTTTCAATAAAAATTTATAAGAATCAAGGTTGGGTTTGAAATGAATAGCTAATAGTTAAGAAGAAGAAAAAAAAATCTTTAGTCTTCTGACATTAAAGATACAGTTTATTGTAAGAACAGAATTTAAAAATTCTAAATTAGAAAATGAATAAGAGAATTGATTTTACACTTACCTATGAAATGTAATTCCAGTCATTTTCTTTGTCCATCGATTCGTACAGCCGTATGCAACGCAGCTCGTCATTTTCACAAGCAAAATATATTTAATTCAATGTTTAAAAGGTAAAATAAAGAAACTCGTTATAGAGAAATAAAAAAAACGATAAAAATAACATTGATCAGCAAGTTCAACGAGCAGAAGATAGCAGCATTCGAATGTTTTGCATAAACCAATATGGCCGACCGGTTACAGTGACGGCTTCACTGTTACTTTCTCATGTCATCTCTACCTATACTCTTTACTCTATTAGGTAGCTCGAAGATGCTCCACGCGAATTTAAACTGATGAAGACACGATAAAGGCATTAATTGATGCAAAGCGGCGAATAAGAAATAACTCATAAGATTCCAAGGAGAATAAATTTATTGAAAAAAAATTTTTTATGATTATTTGAAATACCTAACCTAAGGTTTAATCTCAAAGCTATATGTATGGGATTCTCATGTTTTTATGGAAAGAAATTTGAGTCGTTGCCCTACAACTGTTTTTTTTCTTCTTCTTTTTCTTTTCAAGGGACATTTTTAGACATAATTTTTTATCTGCTGTAACAAAGAGGCTTTGAAAGCTCTTCGCAGTAACATTAAAGGAACATTTTTTGCATTTTTTCGTGAAACTTGTTTACGAGCAATTGTAGCATTTTCCAGTGCGTTAAATACTACGATTTTAAACTGTAATAAAATGGGAACTTGTTTCTAATATGGTACAAATAAAATTGAAAATAATTTTACTCTCTTAATCATCCATTGTCTAATTTTTATTACAATTTAGTGAGATTGAATCACACTCAACAAAGTTGAAACTAGTTGTAAAAAAGCTTTGAAAAAACAATAATTTTCTTTAGAAAAATGCATAAGAAGATCTATGGTTTGATCATTTCTAGTATATGTTGTCTTATTAGTCATTTTTTAGACTTCTCATGTCACAATTGCGGTACTCTGACCTTCTCGGTATTGTAATGCGTAACAGAAAACACAGCACCTATGCCTGAATTACAAGGGTGGTATTTAATGGAAGGGAATATTTTCGCCTTAGTTCAATTAAAACGGAAAACTTCTCTTGATTACCGGAGCAATTCCATTTAACAGAAGCGGAATGGTGTATTAGGGAACATAATGATTATTGACCTTGCTCCCACAGCAGGGAAGATAAATGAGATTTTAATGAGTTAGGTGAGAGGACAAGACGAAGGAGTCTGTCCTCAAATCAAGGGAGGGGAAACGCATAAATTAACCGAAAAGGTAGATGTAGCCCATATTTAAGAGTCTCGAAAAATGTTGGAAATTTGGCAAATGTGCGCTTTTGTTCGACTACACTACCATAACACTGAATTACCATTCCATCATTGTTAGATGCGCAGAAAATGCAGTCCATTTAATACATAATTAGAAGGCAGCGAAACATCTTAATTGTTTCGTTTTCAACGTAAATATTTGCCTCATATTAAGGACAGGAAAGAGGTTCAATTGAGTATGTTTGAGGAAGAAAAAACGCAAAACCCTTTCGCACGCTTCAAAAGCGGTTTTTGTTTATGGATGGTTGGCTGGATGTAAACAATGATAAACTTTCTAAAACCGGAAGGAAATCAGAAAACTTCCGGCATATCCCTCCACCAACGATGAGTAAACAGGCTTAATATTCTAGGAAGTTTTATTATTTTGAATCGTGTTTAAATTTAAGCGTAATTTTACTATTCATATGAATTTTCTGTAATTTATAAAGTTTAACAGATCGCAAGCCTAAAACAAATTTAAGAAAATTAACATCACAATATAAAAAAGTGTAAAAGGTTTGCCATTTTTTGAGCATTATCTCGTATTGGCTATTTAAGTGTTAAATACCGCCGTTTGTTATTTTTTTGTATAGCGTCATAGCATGTTTGTGGAGTCTTCCGAATTCATTAGTTGTTTGTTTCGTTAAAATTTAAGTTGAAAGAAAGCGTTATATTGTAAACACTACAAGTATACTTTTTTAGTAACAATATTGCATAGAGTGCTTTTTCAAACTTGGCGTAAAAATCAATCGAAATTGGTAACCTGGAAGTCTTATGACGAATGTTAACCGTTAGCGCCATCTGTGCTTCGCTTTACACGATTATGTTATGGCTTTAAGCTCGGTTGACAGTTAACTTAGCTACGTCTGAAAATGAAAAGTTGACTAGTTGTCCATTACGCTCTTTCATCACTCGCGGTGTGGCGTCATTTTTTTTTTTCTCTTTTGTTTTTGCAACAAATTCCGCAAATTTCTGTTCGAATAAAAAATAAGAATTTTTTATAATTTTTTTTTTTTTTATTTAAATAATATTCTTAACAAAATAGGACCCTGGTGCTACTTTTTTTTAAAAAAACATAGTGTACTATAATCAATTTTGTAGTCATTGGCAAGACATAGAGATTCAAAAGTGACTCGTTCGTTCTTTACATTTATTTATTCTGTTTTGGTTTGATTCTTACCTTTATTTATTACATTGCTTCTAAAATAAACTTACATAATCAACAAAAAAAGGAAAGAAACTAAAATAAGAAATTTTATAACTGTTTTAAAATCTAATTTCAGTGAACATCGAAGCTATAACATTAAAATGTCAAAACCTAGAGTTCCCAGTTGAGGGTCTAAAAAAATTAAAAATAACATAACTATTTATTTTAATCGTAATGTATAATAAATTTTGTTGTCATCGGCAAGACATAAAGAATCTAAAGTGACTTGTTCACTTTATTTCTTTTGTGTTTGTTTCTTACCTTTCTTTACTTATTTTGTTTTCAAATAAACTTACATAATCAACAAAAAAAAAAGAAAAGAAATTTTATAACTGTTTTTTAATCTAATTTCAATGAACCTAAAAATAAATATTAAAACTATAACATTATAATGTCAAAATGTAGATAATGTCATAATGTTCATAGCTGAAGGTCTAAAAAAACATTTATTCTTTCAATATTTTGATAATTTTTGAAGAATCTTTTCTTTTTGACCAAAACCAGTTGAAACAAATGAGGTTATTTTCTTACATAGAAAAAACAATAACATTAATTTTTCCACAGAGAAAGTTGAAAACCTGTATCAATCTAATTGAGAAGGTTTTCAGAAAACAAATAGTGCTTAACTTCATTTAATATATTTTTTTTATTGAAAAGTATTATTCATATATGCTTTTTCTTTTAATTTGTAGGACAGATTTATATTATTCTCAAGAGTTAGAAAAAACAAGGTATAATTTGAAGGAATAATTAAGCAGTTATTAATTTATGTACATGCATAAAAATTTCATTCATTCTTTCTCCTAATGGCAAAAAAATAAAATAAATAAAAAGGAATTTTTAATTAACTGGAGAGACTGGAACTGGAATTATCTACACTTAGGAGAAAAAATGTTTCAAACTTTAGAAAAACACTAAAAGCTAAGTTGGTTATAATATTTTATTCATTTATTTTTTTACTAAATTAACTGATGACGTTTTTAGGAAACATGAGCTAAATTTTTAAATTTAATTCTAGTATATTATAAAATAGTATCATATTTGTTTGATTATCAAAATTTAAAACTAAATATTTAACATGGTTTATAAAAAATTGTTGTAACTTTCAGTATTTTATATTATTTGCTGTAAAGTTAATTTTAAAGCATTAAACGCTTTTCTGACTCATGATCTGGATAGATACATAAAGATCTAAGCCCAGTGGCAGAATTGATCGATTAACAGTGTGCGACACACTGTTCTTGCAGAAAGATTTTTCTTCTTGAAAAAATTAAATTACTTTTCTTTTGTACAGAAATTTCCTACAGAAAATATTTGATTCGTGTATTTAGATTATATCCCGATATATTTCAAACAGTACGGAAAATTCGAATAGTACATTTGAGTATTTACTTTTTAAGGCAATAATTGTATCCAATTTTTGGCAGTTATTGTTAATGATTTCTCCATAGTTCTTAAATCTGATAATTTTTATTCGATACTATTTAATTCAAAAACCTAATCTCGAAACGGAATACTCATTTGAGTTACCCCTTTTCCAGGAGTCCGATTCGCGTGATTTCGTCATCGAACTTTATTCGGCAATTACTACTACGAATTTAATGATTTTTTATTGCGATAATTATTTATAAAATGAAAAGAAGGAAATAATTAGAACGTTTTTCCCACCAACAAAATGCGAGAATATCACCTATATCAGGGGTCGTCAAACATTTTTGATCATCGACCCCCACAAAGTAATTTTCTGTTAATTNATAGACCCCTGGGGGTCTATATAGACCACTTTGGCGACCTCTGACCTATATTATTAGAATAAAAAATTATTACACATTTAATTAAAATATATTACATCTATCTATATATTTTTCTTGTAAACACAGAGCTATTGTTATTTTAAATTAGTAACTAGTAACATATATGTTTGTTATTATTAAAAGTATCTTGCAGAAAGATATTAGCGCTAGAGAGTTTTGTCGAAGAGAGCTCGTAAAAATTCTGCCACAGTGGATCTAGAAACGTTAAGATCAGCTGATTATATCACGTTATTCAGAGTGGTCCGGTTTTTTTTTCGTACTGTAACAATAGAGAAATGATAATTAAAATATTTTTTTTTTTCAAAACATATGTGGCACTAACAGAATTCTTACCCTTTTAATAGGTTTTTGGATAGTTTGTATACTGGGCAGGCATGATGCTACTTCAACTGTTTGGGCGAATTTTGCAACTTCTTCCCTGAAAGGTGAATGAAATAGTATAAATGTTAAGTATAAATGAAAAATTGAAGTTTGAAATTCAATTACGAATCAAGAATTAATCTTTACTGGAATAAATACCAGAAACCAGAATTTATAAATTTGGAAAATATTTTTCCTTGAAAATATTGACTTGTAGATTTGTGAATTTCCTTGAAAATATTATTCAGATTTTCAAAAAATATATTTATGCACAATTTTCTTAAATATTTTGAATAAATATAAATAAAATCAAGCATTATTTTTATACAATTTTTTTAAAAAGAAATTGTGCTAAAAATTTAAATTTTGCCAAAAACTTTTAATTTAATATCATTAAATAAATTCTTAAAACAGAGCTCATTTTAGGCAGGGTGAACAGGGTGCAGCACCCTGCTGCAATTTTAGTCAAAAGAATCCACCCTGTTGCCTCTGAAGTAAATTAGTGCCCTGATGTAATAGATTCCATACACTTTTTGCCCTTTCTTTACTCAACCCTTCTTTATTTTTTCCCCAAAATCTACAATGGATTTCTTAAACTTTTGTTATTTTCAACTCTTTTTATTTAGTTTGTCATTGCTGTCAATACATAGATTTATATGAGAAAGGAAAAATAGCTATTACACCCCTTTGTTGCACTTGTCTTTGAAAGTTTGCAGTTACTTCACTATCATTAGATCATAATTATTATTAATCATTTTAATTATTAAATCATAACTACAAACACTTGAAAACGTAAATTTATTATTTATTAATATGTGCATGCATTTTAAATAAATTACTAAGCTAATTAGCTCATAAACTCGATATATATATGTTAATTTATTAATAAAAATTAGTAATTAATACGATTGCTTTGCTACTTTTAGTAAAGTAAAAAAAAAATTGACAATGTTTCTTAATAGAACGTGTAAAGAACATGGAAAGAAATTATTGCCTTTTTAGAATAATAATGCCCTTTTTTTTAAACTTTTGCACCCTGCCCTTTTTTCTGCCTAGAATGAGCTCTGCTTAAAAGTGAAAATTATAATGAACATAACATAAAATATATCCATGCATTGTTGTTTAAATATTTTACTGAACTGCACTCTTCAGAGAAAATTTTTGCAGACGCCCTTAGAATACATTTATTTATTTAAATTAACAAGCTTGTAGTCAAAAAAAAAGTTTAACATTTATCTTAATTTCATTTTTATGGAAAAAAAACTGAACTAAATTATCTTAGATCACACAGACTTCTAAGACCTAAAATAGCATTTTTTAATGGATTTAAATGATAGGGGAAGACATTGAAAGGTTAGACCTAGGGGTACATTAGACTAGGCTCAATTATTTTAAAACCATTAAATAATTTTTTTTCCCCATTAACATGTTGCACTACTAGTCTACAAATCCTATGTCAGAATCGTATGGTTCAGTTAAAGTGTACTATTTTTATACCAACAAGTTATATTTTAGCATTATAAAACTTTACCCTCTTCAAGTTGTTTCAATCGAAACAGAACACATAAATATTTTACAAGAATAAATATTTTACAGATTAGATTTTTAATATAATAGCTACTTGTAGTTGCGAAATTTATCTGACTAAGAGAGAAATTATTATGATTTTTAATGAAATCCAAAACATGGGGTATATTGATCCACTAAAAACAGTTAATGGTTGGACAATTAAAATAATTCAGAGAAATAATATTAAAAGCATTACTTTATTTAATTTATAGAGTTGATACTATCTTAAATTTTTTTTTAATGTATTTTTAGATTTAGAAGAATCTTTCAAAGATATTTTTTTCTTAATAATTCAAGTTACCTACACTATCCAAAATCAAGACTAACAAAATGACAGGCAATAAAAGTTAACACATATTTAGTAAAAACTACTTTAATTAAAATTACTTTGAACGCATCGTGTCTACAAATATGCATTTTCATAGCTGCCAACATGGATGAGAAAAAAAATCCAGTAGATTTAACGAAACAATATATATTTCATGAACAATATAAATTTGTTGCAAAATGTAATAAATATTTTACACTTAGGGAATTTTAAGGATTTTTATAGTCATCAAAATAGAAAAATTTCAATATTTTCCAGTTATGATTAACATTAAATGAGCTTGAAATGTTATGTATTATGTTTACTCATAATTTTGAATAATAGAGGCATTTAATTTATCAAAGATAGTTAACTGATTTTTATAAATGAGGCTCGCTTCATAATGTATTAGTAACACTTACTTAATATTCAAGCAAGCAAAAATCTGCCCAAAACTTTTATTTCAATAGGGATTTTTTTTAAGGAAACTTCATCAATTTTAGGGAATTTTCTAAAATGTACTAAAACCAGGGGAATTTTTATTAAACCAGTAGACTAAGAGAAACAGGCCAAATCCAGTAGAATTGGCAGCTAGGCATAAATTTAATAAAATTCGACGGCGAAATAATAAAATTCGTCAGAAATATTGCTTTTTATTTTTTGCGAGACTAGAACAAGATCTAAAATGTATAGTTTTAAAGATAACTGAGCAAGATATTTTAAATAAAATATCATGCATCTATATTACTAAAAATTATACAAGAAATTGGGTATGCATTTTATGTTAAAAAAAATTAAATTTTACTAAACATTATCTTCAAACAAAATTTTTGAGGACGTAAGATTTTGAGATTGCATCTGTATGTCTTTAATATCTTAATGTTGCATAGTGATAAAAAAATTTTGATACAACAAATGTTGAAATCTCTCATGGTTAGCCTAATGGGTGAGGGACTCTAATCCACAATCTGTTTACCACTGATGATATTTTACACCAACAATGTGGTCGGTGTGAGCCAGGGGCGGAATTTGAATCAACCAGCAATTGACAGGATTTTAACCCGGTTCACCTATTTGGGAGGGAAGCCCAAGGTGCCAAATAGATTTTAAATTTGCNAAAAAAAAAAAAAAAAAAAAAAAAAGTGTAGATATTTGTTTGAGGGTGGCTATGAGTTATAGCTTTTGAAAGAAAATTCAGTCTACTGTAAATTGAAATAGAAGGAAAAGCTATGTATGTATTTCCTACATTTCTAAAATATATTAAGACTAGAATATTTCTTGATTATAGCAAGAGAAGCTTAGAAAAAAATAATAAAGCCATCTATTGAAAGATCTTGCCGAGTTGGAAGTTAGACACTTATTAATTTTTCAAAATATATAAAAACTGGGAATTTCGTTGATTAAAGCAGAAACTGCCAACAAAAAATGTTGTAGTACTGTAAATTCAAGTAGAATAAGCAGCTTTATTAGTTTACTATCAAAATATACACGCAAAAAAGGAGATTAGGATAATAAACAATCAAGAAAATCAAGCTGTGTATTTATAACATTTTTAAGAATGGCTTACTTATAAAGTTTGGAAAGTGACTGTGACGATTCGGTCTCACAACGGCTTTTTAATTTATTGTAGAAGGCCATTCTTGTTAATTTCTTTATGTTTGGGGGATGATTATGCTCTTCTTGGCATCTCGTGATAACACCGTTTCTGAAAACGACCCTCGATTTACAGAAACCCCCATCAGTTTGTTCTGCACATTTCCAATACGATACACCGGTTGGCTTATTGTATTGTATTCGGTACAAATTATGTTTATACAGTAACAGATGCCCGCCTCGGGAAGTTTTAATAAACTGGACTTCCGAATCTGACATTTCCACGTGAAAAAGGAACCGAATGTAAACAATAACAAACAATCTGTCTTAAAACCGGATGAAGAATAAATCTTTTGAGTTTCCGGTGTATCCCTCCGCCGGTCGCTTTTGCCTTCATGAAGCCGAAGTGTGAGCAGGCTTATCATTTCGAATGTTTTATTTTTGAGACTAGATTTCATATTACCATGGGCATCGCAAGTGCTCAATTTTTGAGATGGTCGAAATTAAAATACACTGCCACACTCTAAATTTCACTCATATCAAAATAAATTTTGTAAAAAGATTAATATCTTTCTTGTTTCTACTTTCAAAAAATTTAAAATGATTGATAAAAATGTTCTGTTTGCCCGAAATATTGAGGGGGACTTATAGAGATTTTTAATTATTAAGGGGAGAGGTCATGTACCCAACGTTCCCCTCGCTAACGACAGCTATGCATTTTATATTCGTGAAAAATTCTGTTTATATTCGAATTTTTTCAACTTTTCTTTTGCGTTTAGTTTACCCAGAATTCTTCAGTTTACTCACACCTAGTATCGGACCGCTAATTCGAATCTCTTATAACTTCAGGACCGTTTGTGCTAGGGTTCTGAAATTTGGACATTGTCTAGAAAGTACAATTTAGACCTCTATCCTAAAAACCTCGTTATATAAAAAAATCGAAAACACCGCCGCTGTTTGATTCAACTTAACGCTGCATTTAATTTAATGCACACAAACTGCGAAATTTTGAAGCTTTAAATTGTATAGAAAAGTGTACAGGAATTAAGAAGAAATTTAAAAGAAAACTAACATTCGATAATTAGTTCGAGAATTATATACTGTTAAATATGTAGGAAAAAATACCATGCGTGCCGCTCTACAAACTGTCTGGGTTACAGAATTAAAATTTGGCATGCTGAAAGGGCTATATTTGTTTAAAGTCGTTTTCGGAACTCCTATTTGTTTGAAAACTATAGCAATTTTAAGTGCTCTTTTTGAGATTTTTTTTCCGATTATTTTGCTTTTCTGCTCTAAATCTATAACACTTAAAAACTTGAAATTACGAAGACTTGTAGAAAAATGTACCAGGAGTTCAATGGAATGAAAAACTACGTTTGGATTATTAGTTTGAGAATTATTAAAGGTTAAACTTGCGAAAAAAAGAGCCTGCTGATTAATCTACTGTTTGCTGAAATGCAGCTACAAAGTTGAAATTTGATGTGCTAATGGTACTATTTTAATTTATAACTTAAACGAGAGTTTTTTTTTCGATATTCCTTTTTCCGAAATTTAAGTGCTTTTATTTTTGCTTTTTTTTCTTCCTTTAAATAATAATTAGTTAGTTATCCATTGTTGTAGAAAAATTTAGCTCCCTCGAAATTTTCTTCCAATACTTCATCCAGGAGTGCCCTTGTCTTCCGGATTGGGTTCAAAACTACAAGTCTAAGTAGTTGAACAATAGTCGTTGTAAACCCAAAAATTGGATGGGCTGTTCAACGTCGGTTATTAAAAAAAAAGTGGCATAAGACAACACAAAGTTGATTCTGAGAAGAAAAAAAACGAATTTTCGCACGGACAGGAACTGTTTTTCCACAGCATACCCCATCTTCACTAAGTAATAACTCACGGTGGTGGGGAGGTACAGATTTTCCATGTCATTAATTTACTAAAATATAGTCATCTTCATATTGCAACCGAAAACTTCTTCTTCCTTGATCTTCAATAATGAATAAGAAATAACTACTGGTGTCGGTGATCGAAGCGAACAGGGGGCGAAGTCGTAATAAAATTTATTAGTTCGTCAAGGAGAGATTGTTGAAAACAAATATTTTGCATTAGTTTCACATCAGCCATTAAATTTAACTTTATACCAGGATTTTTTAAACTTTCTAGTCTGGAGTCCCTACCATAATCAGAATAATTACGAAAATTTTATGGAACGCCCTAATCATTTCGCAAATTATAATTTGTTTAGATTATAAACAAGCTATTCAATTAATAAAAGAATTGCACAATTGGCGGAAAGGGGATTTTGTCAAAAGATCTTGTTCGCCGAACCCCCCTGTCCAGTGATTTTGTCCTGTCCCTGTCCAATGTTTACACTTCACCACTGTATTATTTATTTTATAAGCGTCGAATTATTTCCTCATAATATTTTTTGTTTTGACAAGTTAAATAGTAGAAAAATTATAGCGGCAAATAAATATGTAAATAAAATAAAAAAACGTCATTTTGAAATTTTTTCTTCGATTTGACGAAAACAGTGCATTCCTTTGTTAATTTCCAATAAATGAATTTTCGATTTCCTCTCTTTTAATGGTGCATGTTTCAAACTGATTTTTTTTTCTTTTTAATTTTCATATCTTATTATTTATTTTCCTCTAAAATTAATTTTTTTCATAAACAATTTTTAATTTTAATTTGAAAATTAAGTTGAAAATTCTTTGTTAGAATATTATAAGATAATTATTTAGAAAAAAAAGAAAGAAAACTTAAAAAAGAGAATTTGCGTTTTCCGAGAAAAGGAATATTGAAAGTTTGAACAATATGCAGTTATAAAATTGTAAGAAAAATCGCATTTTTTTTATTTCCTCCGATTTTGTTTGAATTTCGGAATTTGTCATTTAGAATTACATAGCTTAAAATGACAATAAAAATTTGTATACATTTACAATTCAAGTTTTTTTAACCATTATTAAATGAAATAATAAAAAATAGTGAACAATTATTAATTTCTTACATGCAATTGTCTTTAGTTCAGCAAGTTGTATTTGTGTGCAAAAGGTTTTCGCTAAGTTTAAAAAGCTAACGACATCAGAAAAAAGACTAATTAACATTAAAAGGTCTCAATCTGCAATCTTTTATTTTCTACTATTTAGTTTTTTTTTCCGAATGGCAGGCACAGAACTTTATTCGTTTCGCCTTAGACGATGCCAGAGTTGATACCCAGTGGGCACCTGTGAACCAAAGTCACGGAGGCGAGTAACATTGCCCACGCCTCACTGCCACAAACCCGTTCATAGGGTGGACCACATTCACTCATCACACACAACGGAGGACAACATAAGAGAGAGAAACATCCATGCCCAGAGCGGGATTCGAACCCGCAGCCATTGGTTTCGCAGTCAGGCGCGCTAACCGCTCGGCCACCTGGCCGGCTGAATCTGCAATCTGTTGAGAGCTCTTCTGAACGACTATTGGGACCATATTTTCAAAATTGTGGCTCTTACCCATATTTTGAGCATCTGGAATCGAAATTCGCCTGAAAAAGAAACGGCATGTTTATTCGGAGAAAGTACATTGTTGTGTACATGATTATAATTCAAAATATCATATGCACTTACAAATTAGCATATAGGGTGTTACTAAATTCGACCGACAATTTCAGAAGAAAGATAAATTTCGTCAAACAATGAAAACTTAACGCAGGACGTGAGTTCGCAAAAATAAAGATTATCTTAGAACATGAGTTGTTCGCATTGACTTTCTCTGAAAATATTGCGCACTTTACAACGACGTAAAAACGATTCCTAGACGCACAAGAAGATGCCAGGTGTGCATTTGATGTCTGTCGAAGCAACAACAATCCACGTTATGAGATCCTTCGGTGTGTTCGTAGGCATCGCGTAGACTAGTGGTTTAAGGTGAGACCGTAAAAAAAAGGTCACGGAGATTAAGATGATCCGGCGATGCGGAGGCCATGCAACAGGCCCCTCGTGTCCAATACACTTTCTTAGGAATGGGCAGTTAATTGCATGCATGGACAAATTAATGTCCATGACATCATACATGAACCACATGCGTGAATTATCCTACATAAACGGTATGCCTCGCTGAACTGCAACCGCATTATTTTGCAGCAATTGGGGAAAGACTTGTTGCAGAAAAGCAAGATAACAGCCTGCACGTGTTTCTTGCAATTTCCACCCTCTCAATGTGGTTTGCAACCCCATACTTTATGAGGGGAAGGGGTATTTTCATATCGGTACAGGTTCACACTAATTACAATCGCCAAGGCACTAAAATGGGTTTAAAACTTCCAAAAACTTAAAAATAAATGTAGTGGTTTCTCCCAGGGCTAAAGAGAATAGAAGGGCTGGTTCACTCCTTTGAAGTAACTCTCGCCGCGCCAATCCTCCGATTTTCTCTAGTGACGTCACTTTGGCGCAAAGTTCGCATTTTTACTTCAAGAACGGAGCGTTCAGCCTTAAAATAAGTTATTAATAGTGTCTTTTTAAAATAAATTATTTATACTGTCATTTTCACCAACTAGTAAAACATTTTTATAAGTTTAAAATGGTATTTTTCTTAATATAATAAAAGTTTTTATGAACGGNAATTAGGTAAAAGTACTATGTTTATGAACGGAAATAATGTGTTAATTACGTAAAGTTTGAAAGCTAATAACCAGAAAAAATCTATTTTTACAAAGAGAAAGATGCAAAGTTATTATATCTTTGCTTGCGATCTCTGAGATCTGTGGACACAGTGACGTCATGAGGAGGGAAATCGTAGCTTCAGCTCTAAGAGCGGAGTGAACTAGCCCTTCTATTCTCCTTAGCCCTGGGTTTCGCCAGGGTGGGCTACGAGATGCTCTTCACGTTCGTCCTCCTCTGTTACGTTTTTCTTTTCTTTTTTTCTTCTTTTTTTTTTAATAATTTTTAAAACTTTTGTACGGAAGTTATAAAAAAAAGAAGAAAAAAACTTGGCGATTTACTTTTTTGGTGCTGGTGCCGGTACGGAAATATTAATTTTTATAGTAAGTATTCACTCCCTTGATGTCTCTTTTCATACCTCTGAATTTGTCGGTCGAATTTTAGAACAACCTGCTTAGATCTTCGAATAATTAAAATTGCATTCACTCACATTCTTTTTTTTTCTTTTCCTTTCTCTAAAAAAAATCGTGTTTGCCCAGATTGTGTAGGATTTTGTATCTAAACTTGTTACTTCATAAGCAGTGAACGCTAGATAATTAGCCATGTGTTTGAAATTACCCCTTGAAACCCTTAAGACTGGTATTTAGTATGTGAAAATCCAATCATTAGAAGAAAAAAAAAAAGTTATTCATAAGGTAATCAACATTTATTTATATAGTTTACTATAATTTATAATT